CAGATCTTCGTGGGTAAAATGTCGCTTTTCAAGGCACGCGATTGGTGGTCAGCCAAAGTAGGCTCCGATGAGGTGTTTGACCAAGGTTCACTTTGCGTTGCATGTATAGACAACAAGCATCCTACTCATGGTAAGGCCGTGTGAATATACATCAAATTCTTATTAATTACAAAGAAATATATATTATTTGCACAAAAAACGCAGTTTAACACACCTAAATTATATGCAGCAGAAAAATGATGTGTCTATTTCTTGGTTCCTGGATGAACCGATATATGCCAGATCCCTCTTAATGATCTATTTACCATGTTACATGTAATTGATCATGATAACAAAAGATTTATAAACAATTTCAAAGTCAATTAAGACGTAAAAGAAATAATAATTGGTATATCCACCTATAGACTACCAAAATCACTGCTGACTTGCTTAATCTTTATGAACGACTGCCTAATTGATACTCCAAATATTCCTGATGCTGAAAATTTTTTAATTCTACAACAGTGTCAACTGATTTTACACCTGATTCTCAAACTGTCATCTGATGAAATACTTAAAAATGCTTGATAATTTGATACTATCATATATTTAATAATGTGCTTATTATAGTCCTAATAATACTTTTTCTTTATTCACATGACAGATAAAGTAATAGTTGGCAGTTTGAATGGAATTGTGCGGATATATGACCCAAAATCACATGCTGATGATGATAAAGGGCAAAGCATGCTTCTGGAAATGCAGTTACCTCAGCCAATTCTTGGCCTGGAAACTGGACAGTTTGTTTCGTATGTAAACCATATGCCTTATCGAGGTGGTTGTAAAAATGATACTATGATAATATTAATAATTATGATAAAAATATGATTACTTTTGGATTGGATTTATTCGGTGTAAACACCAAGGATAGCCCACAAAAGTCTAGAAGAAGACTTGTTTCCAGTGGGGTCCTTCTGGTGGTGATTGGTCAGTACACCGGGAGACAATCCCCTACTCTTTTCCGAAGAGTGTACTGTGTTCTTTAACGTGCACATGGGCCATAAATGCACACGGGACCAACAGCTTAAA